GAATGTCTTTTGTTCACACAAACATGGAGTACCAATCTCACAGCAGTGTTTCCTTAGCTTGTATTTCTCAATAACAGCTCATGAACATGTGAAAGCATTGTGTGAAATTTAGCCTGAGAAGAATACATTATTGTAAAAGGAGGAGGCAACAGAATTTCAGATAGAAACTGTTCTGTTTACTGCTCAGAATTTAAATATAAAAAATAAAAAGACTGTAAGTATCACAAGACAAAGCTGTGTGTTGCTCTCTATGAACATGGATTGAAATGCTCTGGAATGCTAGTTAGATTGCTTACAATTCTCTCCCAGCAAAACTAAGTAGTACAAAAGAATTTATCTAGCTTCCTAGCTTTATTAATGGGCAGGTGCATGCAAGGTGCAGGGGAAGAGGGTCATAGATCTCAAAGTTTCTTCACTTTTTCTGGTGTATTTCTGCCTGTCTCTCATACACACATACATTTTTTGTTCTCTGCATATCCAATAACTGTTTCTACATGATACAGATCTCTCACACATTTTTAAACCTACTGAATTCAAGTAACCCATCCCAGCCTACACTGATAAGACTAATGTGGATAGAGGCCAGGTAACTATGGTTGCTGGTGACCAGGACTCTGCTTCAGGGAACTCATAGGTTCCAAATCATCTGGCAATGGAAAGTACAAAGAAGAAAACAGTTTGATCAGGTATGAGACTGGGGGTTTACTCTCCAAGAAAGGAACCAACATCATGTTGATTACCTCCTTTACTCTTTTGTGAAAATTCAGAGAGGAGGCATACAGTATCTGGAAGTGATCAAAGTCAATCTAAAATAGCAACCTAACTCCCACTGAATGTGTTGAGCCACAGCTCCATCATCCCCATGGAACAAGGCTCCCATCATAGTTCAACCACTGTTATTGTTGTCCTGACGCACCTGAGCAATCAAATATATTCATCTATTTATTTCAGTGTTTCACTGCACACAAGTTCCCAGGAAAAGTACTGAAAGTTTTTCATTCTATCACCCAGTCTAATTAGCAGGAGGCTATAGTTCTATCTTCCCTCTCCCTATTAAATCAATAAGAATCAGTCTCCTGCAGCCCCTGTTCAGCCTCGTGTAAACAAACAATTTGGCCAGAAGTGGACAAGAAACCACTGATATGCTAAGGACCACTTCCATGATTGGCATGGATACACAGAGCTGTGCATAGAGAGGAGCATATGAATACACCTCTATTCAAATCTTCCTTTCCTACCATCCTTGCCAAGGCTTTGCTTGTCATATTTGCCAAGCACATATATACTATATGTATAAATGCACATAAAATCCTCCTGGTGTTGAAACAGGCTCTCCTTTCCAGTTGTGGGAGGGTTAAGACACAATTAAAAAAAAAGAAATCAGGAGAAAGACAGCAAGAAGGGCACACACTTTTAAGCTATTAAGCATATTTAAATTTAGGGTTTGGGAATGGGAATTAGGAGATTGTGCCAAAAGCTTACACAAATGTCTACCTTAGTTCAATACACATTGATGGTGTCCTTTTAGATTGAGAGAGGTGCAATTTCCAGCACTATAGAAACAAATACTAGTGTCCCTAAAACATGAACTGAGATGGGTGCAGAGGACCATGCCATGGCATATACTATTAAATAGTATTTCCAGCAACTATGACCCAAACTGGTATATCTTACTATTGCATCCAAGCTTTCAAAACTGGGTCATATTGTAGGCTTGGGGTGGGGGTGGGGGAACCACCTAGCTTGCCTGAACTTCTATATTACTATCCCACACAAACTATATGGAAGTGCCCATGAAGTTACCAGAAATCAAGCTAGCCTCAAAGAGACTATCTTAAAACACATACATATACAAGTAGTTTGGCAACAGAACAAACTACCTAGAGGAATAGTGGTTTGTTGTTCTGTTTTTGTTTTCCTGAAGGGTAAATATAACCATCATTTGGAATGTTCTAATTCCTGATTTCCTCCACTGAACAAAGGAGTAAACTGAGTAGCCTACAAAGATTTATTCAACTCTAAAGTTTTATGGCTGTATAAAAGAACTATTGTGTGTTAACACTGGCATGGAACTATTGTTACCATTTCCATTTCTTGATGGTTACAAGTCACAATAGCTATATATTACTTCCAGTACCATAGGCCTCTGGTCCCTGAATGCCAGTTGCTGGGGAGTGTAAAAAAGAAGGTGCTATTGCTTTCCTATCTTGGTTAAGGGCATACTAATGCATCTGGAAGGCCAATGTGGAACAGTATCCTGAAAAGACAGGCATTTTGTCCAAATCAATCAGCTTCTTTTATATTTTTACAAGCACAGAAAGGGGCTAGTGACATGAAACAGCTTTTCCCCACTTTATTGCTAGTTGTATTGGGATGAATTTTAAATAAAGTGAAATTAAAGCCAGATCTTTAGCTAGGAAAAAAATTAAAACATGGGAAATCAAGCTAAGGCTTCTCATTCCAGACAATCCGATAAATTATACAGTGTTTCATGACTGTAATTATACAGTAATATCAAATCTATGGGTCTAAAGCAAAGGATGTGGGGTATGGTTGTTGTTTTGGAGAAAGCTGAGAAAATTTCTGCACTCAGCTGTTCTCATTTGACCTTGTTCAGAGCCACATAGAATATTCTGATTAGGGCTTTTTGCCAAATTTATATTATGTGAGCTACCTAATTACATAGAATGAAGTACAAGGAATTACATTTATGTCTTGTTCTAAACTCCAGTCACTGGTACCTGAATAAAGCACAAGGAGAAGACGGGTGGAGTGGAGGAAATGTTCTCAACAATAACCAAAGAAAAAAGGTACCCATATCTAACAGCAAACATTGATGCAACTGATTTAATACAGTACATGTGGCAGCAGAAGGTAAATGTAATACTCACAAAGCATTCTCCATGTGAACCTTACAACCAAAATAATTTCCATGTGCCAATACCAACGCACTTCAGAACATTCTTTATGGCTAACCATACCTACAAAATTCAGAGAATGTCTTGGTAGAAACATGATGCTTAATTTTAGCTGGCTCTTAGCAATGTCAGTTATAATGGTGTGGTCAGTTATAAATGAGTATGTGTGTGTGTCTGTATGTGAGAGAACGAAAGAGATCTGTATTTATAGATATAAAATTAGATATAGATATAAAATTTATTTCAGACTAATTTTAAATGATGCTGACCAATAAACCAGCACCAAGTAGTTTCTCATTTCCCTCTATTTGCCACATTGGTTTTTTGTTTGATATTTATGCTTAATAATGCAACTCACAAGACCAGCACTATATTCGGATGCTCAAATTCCAAATTGCTAAGATTGTTCTGACATGCTTATGCAGCTGTCTGACAAGAAATAAGCATGGAAAATGCACGGCTGTCTCAAGAGCAAGGCTGGTCTGGTAAATCTCCTTAAAAGTCTACTATTTCCTCTCGTTTTATCTGACCATTAAAAAAGAGGAATTCCTGAGAGCTGGAAGCTAACGTCTCACCTGAGAGGGAGACACCTATCAGCTCTTCCGCCCCTCATTGTTGTTAGGCCATTTAGCTTCTTTCCCTTCCTTTTCACTTTGGTCAAAGCCTGTAGCACAAGAGGATTGCCACGTAGGAAACAGTTGCCTAAGTTGTCCAAGAGATACAGTCAAAGTGCAAATTCAGAAGCTTCATTGAAGCTAGACACTTGGAAGTAGGTAATGAAAAACAAACAACAAAAGATTGCTCTCTAAATCATCTATGCTAGACCATCTTAGAGAGGAAATTCAAATTTAGTTGGGAGACCAAGGTTTATTTATATTCTGTGTCTGAACAGAGATGAAGGATCTAGCCACTTGTACTGGTGTTCATGCATTTAATGTAAAGATCTGCAAGAGGCATATGAGCACATTCAATGGAATGCCTTTTATGTCTTTACTCACACCAGGTACTCTGATACAGACTTTTAACCAGAAGACAGTCATGCTAGATATAGATATAATTCTTATTATATTTAACATATGACTGCTTGTGCTGAATATTATATTCCATAAATACATTGGTATTTACTGTCTTAATTATCTGATATTCTGATCTGGTTGAAAGACTGCCCCAAATGTATAAAAGGAAAAGTTTCATCACCCTCCAAAGATGTACAGGTTGCAGACTGATTTGGAGTGTATTGGGGAAAATCAGGATTCACTGGATAGGTCAAGTGTACTTGGCCAATAGCCTTCAGAGTCTCACTGGAACATCTCAGGCAGGTATTGAGCTTATCCCACCTGCAAGGGAGTGCATTTGGGGCACCCGAGACATAGCACGGGCTATGCAGGGGGGCATGACTGGGGCACCTGGGGAGATGGGTTATTGGCATTTAACAATCCAGAAAGCTGCATGTAAAGTAAAGAATTGGGAGAGTCCTTCCATATACTATTAGCAGACAGTTTTAGTGACCTAGACAAAGGAAGCAGAATGGTAGGGAAGGGGAATTTCAGCTGGTATACTTATGAAATATGAAGCGAAGCTTGCTGTATAATGGAGAATATTAGGTTATTGCACTAGGTACATTGCTTTTAAATAAGACAAGGATCTAATTCTCAGGCCTATAACACAATGAACTGTTCAAATAAAAAAGGACGGGGACATTGCTTAACTTTTTTCAAACACAGAGTTATAACTAAATGGAATAATAGCACATCTACTTGTTGAAGTAAGAGCCAGTGTTTTACAATATAGAATTTAATCATCAAAGTTTAGTTAAAATGTAATGTTAACGCATTCAAAGATGGATGGATGGATGGATGGATGGATGGATGGATGGATGGATGGATGGATGGATGGATGTAAAAACAGAGCTAAAGAAAAATCCTAAAACGTATCATAGCACAATAGGATAATTAGGACAGCAAGGGAATAATAGATAAGATAGCACTGAGACTTGCTATCACACTTCCTCTGGGGACAATTTGGGGAGGAAATAGCATCTGAATGGGGCCCCAGATCTATGAGTGATGTTTTTAAGCTTACCTGAAATCACATGCAGTGGTGAGTTCTGCTCCTCCACCTAGAGCTTTCCCCTGAATTAATGCAGCTGTGATGAGAGGTAACCTACGCAGCAGGACACATCAAAAAGAAACAATTCAAAAATTACAAATCTGAAAACAGCCAACCTTACATACAGAGAAACTGACCTATTCATCTCAAGCAAATTATCAAGCAACTCAAACAGGAGACTAGCAAGTACATATGATTTGTGAAGACATTTCAGTGAGGTTGAAACCCACCCCCACTAGAAATCTGAAGTTAGCACCCAAAAGTCTGAAATGCTGGCCCTAATCCATTTGCATTATTTCAACATTGCTTCTCACTGACTTCTAGTAAGAAGCACTTGCTCTAAATATGCTTCAGAATATAGTATCTGAATGGGACTGTATAATCCAAATCAACAAAATATGAGAGAGAAGATTTTGAATAAAACTTAAGAAGAAATTCCTGAGAATATGAGTGGTTTGTTAAAGGAAAAAATGTACATATTTTTGTACTGACAGGGGATCTTCTCCATGGTTCTGTGAGGACAACTGGACATATTAATTTTATTCAGTGTGGGAAGACAAAGGCATCAATGGATTCAAAAAGGATAAATGATTCCAGGAAATAGTATCCTTATAATATATACAATTCTTGATATTTGCATTCACATTTCAGTTAAGTATTCCCTATGGGAAAATCTGTTTACATTTTTCAGGTTCAAAAATCCATTCAAGGTTCATTTCATCAGATACATCCCCAGTATTTGCTGCAATAATTCATAATTTTCTAAACATTCTCACAACCCTATGTATACACTAACTAATCCAAGGAAGCCTGGAAGTACATCAGGGAGCACCTGATCCATCCAGTCAAAACATCTAAAGTAAGTCTGTTGAGGAACCCAGCCTAGGAGTTCTAAAGCGAGGTGAAGCCAGTAGTAACTATGCAAGTAGTCCTCAACTTAGGACCATTCGTTTAATGACCGTTCAAAGTTATGGTGGTGCTGAAAAAAGTGACTTACAACCAGTCCTCACATTTATGACCATTGCAGTATCCCCACAGTCATGTGATCAAAATTCAGGAGCTTGCCAACCAGCATGTATTTACGACAGTTGCAGCATCCCAGGGTCACATGATCACCATTTGTGACCTTCCCATGGGGCTTCCGACAAGCAAAGTCAATGAGGGAAGACAGATTCATTTAAGAACTGTGGTGATCATTTAATGACCACAAAAAAGGTAATAAAATGGGGTGTGACTCACTTAATGACTGCACTTAGTGACAGAAGTTTCGGTCCCAGTTGTGGTCATAAGTCAAGGACTACCTGTAGTCACTCTTCTCTGTAGTAATCCCAACACTATAAATAAAATACGGTGCCCTGGGAGGTATATGTGGCTCCTATTTTTCTGATGTTTCTGAAGGCCTTAAAACCATTCTTTATTATTGTTTTGTCTTAATGTGGGTTAGGGGTTTCTAGGGATCTCTTGTTGTGCATCTCCCTGAGTTTGCAATGATTGGAGCAGTATATAAATACTGCTCAAGTAAATAAGTATGAGGAGAGAGCTTCCATTGTTCAAATGTTTAGGGTAATGTTCCTCCAAATTATCTGTGAACACATCCAGAAATTAATACATTTTTTCCTGTTGTTTTTAAATCACTGGAGCTCAAAGTGGACAAAAATATGACTTACAGCAACTGGTACAAAATTCAATTTTAGGTTTGTTTCTTTAAATGTACCCTATTTAAAAAACTGAGAATCGCACTTCTCAGAAAGGAGCTGGGTCAGTTCTAGACAGTGTTAAAGTAACTTTCGACTGCCAGTTCAGACAGCTTTTGTGCATGGGAGATTGAGGGTCATCTTGCCCTCTGTATCAGGCAATAAAATGTCTTGGTCTAGCCCTGCAGCATTGCATAACATTAATTTACCAAGCATTTTCCCCCAATTCTCCTCATGGCCCATTGTGTACTGTCTCATAATTCTTGTGACCTTGAACAGGCATTACTCAATGCTTTTTACAAAGTCCATGGAAATGGTAAACCTACAGCTTGTTAAAGAAATGTCCTAAATGATGGGAATGGGATTAAATGTCAAAGACCCTCAATGTTTTCCGTATCTCCAAGTCCTGAGGTCAGATGTTTAATCAAATGTCTTCATAAAACTGAAGGTCAGAAATATAATAAATAATGCAAGAGAAATCTGGAGCATGGATCATGCAGCAGATACTAAAACAAGCTGAAGAGTAGAATTTACTTATGTGGGAGCGTGGAGAGAACAGATGGTGGATTAAACTCATGTTTCTGCATGTGTTCCATTCACGGACCTACGTAGGTTGCAAAAATGAGGCTTGCCAAATTTTCAAGATGACTGGCTTCTATGACAGGGAAGATGAATTTGTAAGAAGTTGGTACATCTATTTTACAAGACTTCAACACTTTCTGGTTTCTGGAATTTTATTTCTGCAAAGGGCATTTTCCCAAGTAGCAATTAAAAAAAAAAAGGACCCTAAGTCAACAAATTTTAAAAATCAGATTTTTTATAAGAATCAATTATTCTCTTTCCAAACATTTCTGGATCTACAAAAGTGAACTATAACATTATTAGGTACAACCTCTAAAACTGTGCTGAAATTTCATGTATAGCTTAGTAAATTTCGAGAAAAAAATACACAAAACAAACACTTGCACATACTACCTCATGAGTCTGGTTAAGATGTTTTGCATGAACATACACATGTTCATCCCATCCTAGAAAACAGAGAAACAAATTATCAAGAAATATTCTAAGAATAAAAATGGAACAAGCTGCTTGGTATATTCAGTGTTCCAAGTATCTTGATTTCCAGTGAACATGCAAAGAATACATTTCTCAAACAATCTGCTCAGTTTATGCATCCTTTACACAATAACTTTTCAAGGAGACTGGGCTCTTGTTGAGAGAGTGGCACAGAGGGAGAGGACTATTTTCTTCTCCTATTCCTATTGCAACCAATTTGAGGGAAATTAGGTTCATCGGTTACCAGGGTTTCTACATTTTTCCACAATTTTAGAAGTATGTACAGAGAGTGGAAGGGCTCATGCAACATCAAAGCTTCTCCCAATCTGCCCATATTACAGCTCTGAGTCCTCTACTGAAGAGGCAAGTGATTCAGAAGTTTCCATGTGGATTGAAAAGAAGCATTCAAGATTCAATCTCCAAGTCAGATCTCTCTTTCACCGTCAGGGAAGGAAAATAGAGTTTCTCTTGAGATGCCCGTCAACAGTGTTCACTGGCATGGTTGTTGCATTTTTTAACAATAAAAAATGAAAAATAAAATGAGACTCTTGTAATACCACTGAGGTCAACAAGACTTATCTTTAATTCAACAGGTAAAGACTGGTCTGGGGAAGCCATCTCTAACTTCATTTACATAATGAAATTGCAAGTTTTCTGCCATTTACTTTGGACAGCTCTAGAAAAGATCAAGGGTTCTTTCCAAAAGGTAATCATGGAGTCATAAAATTACATCCTTCTCCTATTTTCTCAGTATACCACTTGACATTTGAGACAGGGACATGTTATTGGCTAGTTGGCACAATATCATGGTTTGCTAAACCTCTGCCGCTTTTCTTTGAATTTTATTTCTGTGTGTGTGTGTGTGTGTGTGTGTGTGTGTGTGTGTGTCTGTGTATTTGGCTTTCTCTCTGATTTAGTTTTTATTTTGACATTCTATTATTATCAGGATTTACTGACTTTTGTAAACTAATGTTTGATAATTTGCAGTGAAACCGAAGATACTAACCCATACATTATATAGTCTAAAAATAAAAAATACAGCTTTCAAAGAATTTCAGAACATTTTCACATATAATACCATTCTCTCTCTCTCTCTCTCTCTTTTTAAAGAAACACTGCACAAATAGAGGCTATCAGAGAATATTGGTATCTGTGTGTTTACTGACAGAAGGAAAAAAGTAAAAATAAGACTATTGATTACAAAATTGCATTAATGATCTCAGGACAATTCAACTTCAAGGGACTTCCAGTGAGCGCCATGGCAAGCTAGACATCCCTGCAGAAGCAAGACAGCTTTTATGTGGAGATTGGCAGCTGGATGCTGGATCCTGGCTGGCAAAACCTCTCTGGAGAAAGGAGAGATTGTGAGATAGCCTATGCACACTCTGGCAGCTGCTCCTCGTGAATAGACCGCAGGAACCAAGGTTTTGCAGGCAGCTTATTAGTCGAGCAGCTGGGAGTTGAGGGATGCCATCTAAGCTCACAGTCATAATGCAGCCTTTTATGGACAAAAAGCTTGTCTGAGCCTCATTTCTTAATCATTGTTGGAACTATTTTTTATTGCTTTGGAAATATTAACACCCTTCGGAGCAGCAAGTTTTTATTTATTTATAAATCAAATTTATATGCTACCACCCATCTCACTATATAAGTGACTCTAGATGGCTCACAAATATTTTATTGCATTCACTGGGTGAGTCTCCTTCTCTTTAGAAAAAGAAGTTTTAAATACAATTTAGGGACATGGAAAAATATTTATTTTTTGGAATAAACAGCAAAATGGTGTTTAGAATGTTGATTTTGGAAAGTGAAAAACAGACTAAGGGTCCAGACAAATTTGGAATAAAAATTTGAAATGAATTATAAAAATTCTTCCTGTAGGAAACTCTGGCTGTTTGGGTTCTTTGGAAAAAAAAAACATGATAAGATGGGACTTTGCAGGTTGAACACTAGAGGGAACTAGAAGAAAAAAAGAAATTATAATTAAATAAGAAGAATATTTCAATTTTACTTGTTAACAAAGAATGGAGCAAAATACTTTAACAGTGGATATTATAAAGGCTATTTTTGAACAACGGACTCAGAAATTAATTTTGAGAATGTCTGATACATAGCTAGATGGTGTGTTAATGATGTCACAGAAGAACAAGAAGTTATACTGGATAAGACTGAAATTGATTTGAATGTGGATTTAAATATGACAAATTACAAGAACAATATGGAAAAAGCTAATATACTGGACATACAAATTAAACCTGCTAATGTCTTAATACTTAAAGGTGACATACAAGTATCAAACCAAAGAGTGATTTGGATAACCTTTTCTTACTGGGTGTACAAAAGAGATCTGTTAAAGGCTTGAAGGATTCTCTGAAAAGGGACAAAGAAGGAGAAGGAGAAGGAGAAGGAGAAGGAGAAGGAGAAGGAGAAGGAGAAGGAG